AAAACTGAAAAAAAATACGAAAAAAACGTTCTACAGCTCATAGCAGGCGACTCGATGACAGCACAAAGATGTATTAGGCACGTTGGAAAGGTGAGCTTTTCAGCTTTCAAACGAGTGTTCAATCATGTAATTATCTTATGGGGTTGTCGAGATATTAATGAGAAACTAAAAAGACTAAAAATAAACGTGGTTTCTCTGTGTTTTTCAATTTTGACAGCTCATAGCAGGCGACTCGATGACAACACAAAGTTGTCAGTAGGTTCGTTGGAAAGGTGAGACATTCAGCTATGAATGTTTTTCTGCTACTATGGAAATTATGACATCAAATAAGTATTATTACATTTGCAAGTGATGAATATAAAAATTAGTCATAAAAATCACTGAAATCTTTATTATTTCCAATTGAATAACCACTCAATGTTATGAAAATAATGAACACTACTAAATGCAAACATTAATATCTCTTATATACAATTACATTAAGAAAAGTACGAGCAATCACACTGATTAACTACAATTTATTATGGAAGTAATTCACGTATAAATGTTGTTGCATTTATTACAAGCAATTCTTTTACAAAATAATCTTTCCACCAAACGCTATAAGCAGAATTATTTCTACTTTCTCGTTAATTATTACAGAAATGTTTTCGACGTACGACGTATGTTGAATCAAAACAAAAACTTGAATCAAAATAAACTTAATTCAATTATCCCGCAGGTGGAGATCAATGATAAGAAGGCTAAGAGAAAATGCACGGACGTTGCGTTTCTGTTTATCTACGCAGCACTCATGATTGCATTAGTAAGTAATTTGCATTAACAATATTGTAAGAGAAGTAGAGCAGATTTATTCAGATGGGATTGCTGGCTTACTGCTATTGTTACGGTGAAGTTGATCGTCTGGTGTACGGTTTGGACAGATGCGCCAACATTTGCGGAAAGCAGAACTTCAGAGAGCCGGGAATTAATCTGCAGCAGTTCAGATGCAAAGGCATGGACATGAGAGACAAACCGTATGCTTCAACTCAATTCAACTCAACAATTACGCTTAATACTTTGCATGTAGATTCTTTTTACCGGTCGAGGAGGAATGCGTCGAATCTTGCAACGTTTCATCCACTGCGTGAGTCCAATTACGAAGATCCATCAACTTCAAAATGAACGTCTTTAAATTTTTTTAGCACTTTATATTTAAACCGTTGTTACAAATATTCAACAAGCGTAAATATTAAGGTAATTATCACACAATAATCGTTGAATATTAACATTTAATTTCTTAGAGTTCCCTCGAGGACGTGGAATTCTGCAAATTGGAAGTGTTCAGCCTCATTGGTCTCACAATAAGTAAATTTTAAAAAAATACAGTTTTATACAAAATGAATTAATAATTGTTTTCAGTGCTTTGCTGCGTGTTAACGTTCATTTACATGCAATGGCCTTTACCATACACACTAACAACTATCCTCTTAGTAACAGCCGCAATTTGTCTCTGGTTCTTACGTTTTTCTTTATAAACGAAATTTACGTTTTTAAATTAATTCGTTTTGCTTTCAGGTATTTCAGGTTTTTCACTTACCTAAGTTTGAGCATAATTGCAGCAATGTTTCTGTACATCATTGCCATTATCTGTTTGTTCGTGAAATACCGCCACTCGTTGAAATCGTGCGAAGAAATTGATTGCATCATAAAGACGCATCCTTTCTTACAATTGCAACCGTTTCTGGTATATAATTCTCTTAATGATTACAGAAATTTCATTGATTTTCAAATTCACATTTTTTTTCTTCAGTTTATTCTTTTGATGGCATTGACATATGTCGCGTTCAACTATTGGGCGCTTTTGATCGAGAGCGCTGGGGCAATTGTGGAAATCGAAAACAGCCATTACATCTACGAAAGAGACGGAACGATGGTCGCTGCAAGATATTTAAATTTGCTCGGATTCATCTGGACCATACGGATTTTAACGGATTGCGAACGCTTGATGCTATCAGCAACCGTCGTCATTTACCATCACGAACCGTAAGAACGATTCCTCCAAATCAATAATCCGAAAAAGTTGATAATCTGTTTCAAGAGAAAACTCGAAGATGGGTTTTCCCATCAAATACTCGTACTACAATTTGATCAGATACCATCTGGGATCGACGATTTTCGGCTCAATTCTTGACCCAACAAACGCAATTTCCTATCATTTATTGAGAGCATTGCAGTATTGGAAACTTTTGGATCGTTTGAAAGAAAATCATAGTTCTTTGAAGTGGATTGCGGCGCCGCGTTTGATCCGTTACGCGTACATACGAATCGGTATTGTAACAAAACATATTTACTAATCAAATGAATCATTTCACTTCTGCAGGCGAAAGTGGACGTGCGATTAGAAGATGTTTGGAAAATTATGATGGATTCGAAAGTGAAGAATTTAATTTGGTTTTGGTTAAAGTTATGATCGCTATGCCTTCGATCGTGGTCGGATTCGTCGTGGTTTGGGTAAGAGTAAGTTTTTTCATCACCAGATGATTGATTTGTAATTTGGTTTGGGCAGGAAAAGTGCCAACATCCCTTCATGCTTCCAGTGATAATCATTGGGATCGGTTCGTATTTAGTCGCTGACGCTTTCGCGATTATTTACGAGGTGAGTTTTGCGAATTCCAAAAATTTTGTTAATAAACTAGTAATTCTTAGGTTGTTCTTGATGCGACTGTAATTTGCAAAGCAACAAACAAAGATAGCTTCGAGAGGAATCTGGACGTAATTGAGAATTCATTTGTTTGTTAAAACTTCTGTTGTTTGTGAATTCAGCTATCTTTGATAGAAAAAAAAACTGTTGTTATTCGCGAGCTATAAATCAAGTTAACCGGTGGTTAAAACGAGACGTCGGCATAAACAACAGACCGTATTTTGTGCATTGTTTACTCGCATTCCTCAGCGGACCATAAATTAACATGCGGACACATCTGGGTCGACAGCAAGAATGCGTTTGTATTTATTTTTTTTTGCATCTTTTCAGTAGTAAAATATGTCTTCATTCAAAACGTAGTTTATGAATGAAAAGAAAAAAATTCTGTTCGTTTCATTATCTTTATTAGTTCATATATATTCGAAAATTGCACATTGATTACAGTATGCGCTTATTATAATAATAATAATTATTAGTTAATTAATCATCATACATACGTACATACATTCTATTACTAACGGCAAGACCAGCTTGACATCAATATAATAGCGTTTCTAAAGGTCGCCTCGAAGCCGCGACAATATTTTTGTTGTTTTTCATATATAATATATAGAGATATGCACACAATATACACGTAATTACAATTAGGGATGAGCTCTAAAACAAGAGACAGATAGATGGACAAAATCAGAGTGTACTTGATCAACATCATCATCAATCTTATACGGATTACTTCTTGCATATTATGTATGGATTATGTGAGTGTTGTTATTGTTGCAGCTCTTTCTTGTGCACAGCACATACAATAGTTTCAGAGATTCGCGAGAACAATTACAAAATCTAAAAAATTAATAATAGACATACAAATGTAACAGAAATAATAAATAAATAAGTAGAGTTAGTTGTGTGTGTGTTTGTTCTGTTAATAATGTCAGTTTGAAAATAAATTTATTTATTACGCATCGTTTTCTTCAGTCTTACAAAAATTGTTTCGAAATAATTCAACTAGATACAATAACAATATTTGTTTCATTATTTTAATCAGTATTCAATATATATATATAGTTTTGATTTTGTCTTGTTTAAATAGTTATATATAATATGTATATGAATAAATAAATATATAAAGAATAATGTTGTGGCCGAGGTGAGGCGCAATTATTGCTAGATTACATACATAATAATGTTACTATTACCAATAGTTAGCGAATATTTCTATGTGATACAGAATAATTATTGATTTAGACCGCGAAATCATGCACAATTAATGTTTGATTCAGCCAAATTTCAGGAGAATGCAATGATGAGAACAATTGTCGTTTGAAGTGAAATTTGCAAATGTTGCTAGATATTTAATATTGGATTGGATAATCGCGGTATTTACAAACAATGTAGAATAGTAGACAAACAAATAAATAAAATATAATTATATATATAGAATAATAATATTAATAATAAATATAAAACGTTAAACGTATGTGGATATAAAGAAAGTAAATAATCTTATATTTATATATATTTGTTTTTGTTGTAACCTTCTTGCATAAGAGA